ATTATTTACCAGAGGCTATTCAGAAGATTGTATTAGGTGATTAAACTTTTGCCATTCGAAAAGCACAACAATTTACAATGATTTGCTGCATCATTGCCCTTGTTTTATGTATTTTGAAGGACGTAATAAAACCAAAGATGCATTCTGGATTTCACGATTAGATTTTGCGGACAGTCTTTCACGTCGACCAGCAACGATAAAAAAAGAAATGTAAGTACGGAAAAGTTTAAAAATAATAATAGTGGTGGAAGAAAAATGACTTGCTTGCGCCAATAAAAAATCTTTTAATTTTTAATTTTTGATATTTGAAGCTATATTCTTGTCAAAGGTGGAATGGAGGGCTCTTTTTATGTTGGTGTGGTGAATGGCTACAGATCTCATTCAAACGTACAATATAAAGGGAATTACTATTGGGTTTCTTATATAATGAGAGAATGGCAATAGAAGCCTTGACCTTGTTTTTGTTTTATAAAAAGGAATATTCCGTTTGCATTTAGGGCTTTTATCCATTTCGTTTTGAATAAAAAATAAAAAAAGAAGGTGAGCAAATAAGCAAATGAATTTATTTTATACACTTTTTTATCAAAAACTTTTTTGACTTCAACATGTACTCTGACACGGTTATAAGTAGCGTAGCTCGATGAATAACAATTCGGTCTTCCATGCTGCAATACCGTTAGGGCTTCACCTGATCCGAACAGTGGCTTAAGAGACAGGTTGGCAATATGTTGTTATAAAGTACTCAAGGATAGCATCTGAATTTCAAAATATAGCGAGTAAAACCAGGGCTAATAAAGAAGAACTTTTGGCCCATCACCGGATGAATGCGAACAATGGGGTGAGCAATTCACGACTACCTCCAATCGGAAATGATGACTATTTCTACGATGGTACTTCTTAACGAAAGTAAAACCTTCCAGTTTTATTTTCAAGGGATCTGGAAGGGCTTTATGCTGCATATCCTGAAACAAATAAAGCATCTCTCTTCCTTGCTTGGGACCGTGAGCGCCTTAAAGAAGGGTTGGTTTGAAGCAAGCGAAAACCAAGTGACTTGTACAAAAGTACCTTCTTTAATAACCTTCTGACGAATCTTCTGTTCCAAAGATTGAGAGATCGAATGTGATGCTGTTGCTGTTGAAGTTTCCGGATCACCACTTTATAGCAAAGTTAAAATCGGCATTAGCATTGAAGTTTTTTATCTTGAATTTTCGAATAGTCTCTGGCCTCTTCCCCGTTGTAAGAAATCCATTTGTTTTTTGAAGGATGCTAGATATAGCGGGGAACCAAAATTTCTGTTCCATAACGAAGCGTCCAACAGATAATGTCATCTACGCCTGGTGCTATCCAAGGCAAGCGCCACATTTTAATGTAACCAAAATATGACTGCAAAAGGTAAAAGCAAAAAACATGCAACACAATAATAGAGAGACTGCTTTGCCATTCGCAGAGATTCTTTTGATCCCATGTTCGCCGTAGGTGTTAATGTTTGGTCTATAGTGAGAATCGTTAGTCCAATGGTATAAAAGTTTAAGTTATTTAACAATTTATCAATGGAATTCAATGTAGTTTCATTTAACAGAAACTTCCAATGAAGCAGTTTCAGGACAATATAATATATTAGAGGGAAAAGTAAAATGACTGTATATTTCAAAATGAAATTTTGGTGAATAGGACGCCAAACGCCAAAGCCATAGGATACAAAAAAGAGTACTAGCCGTTCAATAAAATAATCGAGTACTTGCTTTATATCTAAAACATGCCAAGGAACAAAAATTCCTAAATAATTGTAGTTGCAAGATTTCTTTCACCAAAAAGAAAAATGAGGATCCAAAAGCAGAACTAATAATGAGCACCAAAAGCCCATATTGCACGGGGAGGATTTTCGACGTCTGAGAATACATCGCATATATCCAATAAAGAGAAAACAAAAGAAACCCAAAGGTAAATTTTTTGTAAGGCGTCTCGTTGCAAAGCAAAAAGTTCCTTGAGCCTTTTCTTTGATTTCAAAAATTGAGTAGGGTAAGTAAAATTGGATAGAAAGGTAAAGGTATGGATGGAACTACTAATGTTGTAAGTAATGGACCAGTCAAAATATCTCTTTCAGAACGAAGGATGTACTTGAAGGTAAAGAGATCAAAATGTAGCCCAACCTGTTTAAGCACTGGTTGTCCAATTCGCTATTACCAAGCATTATTTCCCATTCTTCAAATGGAAGATAAGCAACTGCCATTCCTCCACCTAACCTTTCAAAGGTTTGTATGGAGCTATATTTAGGATAGTCTTCCCCTGCATCCATTCGTTTACAGTAAACATCCAATTTGAAACTACTACGTTCGAGAATATTAGGATGAACTCTGGGATTTAAAAGGAAATACTGGAGTTCTTCTATTATTAATGAAAACAACGTACACAAATGAAAAAGAATAATCCTTGCTTACCAAACAAAAACTCTCACATTTGGGAATGTCATTTCACATGCAAAGAACTTTTAGCGAATGACAAATTTATATAAAGGAAAACGAAGATGATTCCGTCTTGCAAAATGCATGAACTTGTGGGTGTTAGGATATTATGTTCATCCTTTATCCTTAACTCTTGTCTGTCCTATTCTCCTGTAAGGATTACGTTTCTATAGCTATCATTTTTTTGTTTGTTTCGCAACGACGAATGTCTATGCCGTCAAAATGATAACTTCTGAAATCCGTTGATAGAAGCAAGTAAATTCACTATAGAGCTGATTAATCTGTTGGAATAAGTAGAGGATGCTTTTTTATTTTAACCAGACCATTCAAATTTAATCTGGATTTTGCTGTAGAGCCATCAAATCTATCGTTACCCTTCGTTAAATGTTTAACGAAGCTGAAGACATCCCTAATTCCACTTATCTTTTCGCACCGTTGTTTTGACAACAGGGGAACCTCCCAAGCAAGTGTCCTCATCTCAAATAAACAAACAAAGCAACTACCAACACCTTTTCATTGTGACCAATAGTTGCTACAAAATTGGCTTTCGCTGACCTTTTTCAAGAATGAGTCAAGATTTATTTACGAACCCATTTGGAATTCCTCCACCATCTGATGATTCTGATGCTTCCTTAAGCCGTTTCATAGCTGAATTCTCACAGGCGATTCCCCAGGATCAGTTTGATTCGTTTAGAAGCAAGTTGACGAGCCTTTATGAAGCAGTTGCATCCAAACTTCGAGGAGAGACTCGTCCACAAGATGACATGTCTGAAATTCGTGGGATGCTTCAAGCTCTTTACCAGAAGGTTAATAACCTAGAAGAAGGACAATCTAGCCTCAGAGAAGATATGATTCAAGGACAAAATAGCCTCAGAGAAGATATGATTCAAGGACAAAATAGCCTCAGAGAAGTTATGATTCAAGGACAACGCAGATTAGAAGGTCAGCTTGGATCTGTCAACAACAACGTTCAAGTTAATAAAGGTGATGCCTATTTACAATGTAGCGAAATTGATTCCAAAGTTAACAAGACAAGATCTTCAGCACAGAGATCTGAAAATATTATTAATCGATTTGTTGCGAAAGATACAAAACCGATTCCATTTGTTAATGGACAGGAACCTCCTGCTGAGCTACCTGAGTTAAAAACTATCTCCGACGTTGACAATTTGAATCCACAGCAACTGAAAACGTATGCGGAGGGATATGGGTTTAAGTATGACGAGAATGAGCCTCAAAAGTCTCTTAAAAGAAAAATCGCAGACTATGCTGGTTTTGTTACTCACCAGGATATTTTATACGAATTGTCAGACAGCAATGAATCCCTTCGAGACGTAGGAAACCAAAATAGTGCACCAAATCAACGGGCAGGTACACGCAGGCCTCGTCATCATTGATAAATGTTACGAGCAGAACAGAATTTTTCTTCTCTTCTCTTCTTATTATAAAGCTTATTTAAAGCTTTTTAACTTTTGCTGTTGAAGATTAAAACTCTCACTTTCCTAAGCATTTTTATTTCGGGTAATGCCTATTCCTATTCGCCATATTAGGCTTTTTAGAATCGCATAATTATCCTGTATGACTTTAAAAAAGAAAATGGATCCTCTCTCTCTCTTTTTCCCAGTTCTATCGAAGATGAGAGTTATCCCTTATGGTTGATGGTTCTTAATAGTAACTTATTCAAAACAGAGAAACTTCTTACTAAGGAAGTAAGTTTACCGTTGATAACTTTTCCAATCAATCTCTCAATGTATTGAAAAGATTCTATTCATTTTTCTAAAACCCAAAAAGTTGATCAACACTTCTTTAGAGGGGTTTTGGCAAAAGTCAGCGGATGTTGTCACAATTTCTATTCTTTACGAGAACTCAAGAGATTCATAAAACAAGTGTTTCTATGAATCGTTTTCGAGGAAAATGCATCCCAATCAGAAGTATTCTCCCTACAAACAGTTTGGTAAAGCTAACCATACCTAGGCGAAAACACCAGTTCCCGTCCGATCACTGCAGTTCAGTGTCTGAGGATCTTGTGATTAATATGCTCCGAAAAAACATTGGAATCCAAGGTCCTGTTGGCTATTTGTTCTCCTGCTTTCTTTTTTAGAAGTTTTTACGTCGTGCTGTTTACGGGCTTGCCGATGAATGAAATGCTACCGTTCATCCTATATGAACGTTCGTAGCGTTTATATCGTGCTAAAGAGGTGCTACTCATATTACGATAAACTACACAACACTAAGCTTACATACAGTCTTCATCGTTGAATAACAAACTCGGCTTCCACTCGACAGGTTCCAGAAAAACAACATTCTATATGGATCCATAATTATTGCAACATTCAACAGCATTTTCGACAATTTCATTTAATTCTCTTGTTTTATTCTAGTATTAATTTGGTTTAAATGTTTCATTAATTTCATAAAGAGTTAAAAAAACAACGTAACTTAACAAAAAAATTACAGCATGAACGCCATCCCAACTTGGAACAACGTTCATTAGCGTTCACTCCGCCCAACAGCGCACTGAATCTTAACTTAGATGCAGCGTTATCACATCAGCGTTCATTATTATGACCTCTCGCTCCCTTTAGTTTAGAATGTTAGTCCTATGAAACACTGCATACAGAATTCATTCCATATCTATGCTTTGAAGGTACGTAACATCCATAATGTCAATAGGCTAGGCATATGGAAATGCACAAAAACACAAGTGCATAATGAAGCGATTTTTTTCTTTATTACTTCATCTCATCTACTCCGAGACATTGTTCGACCACAAGCTTATAGCAACGACCATGCTTTCCCACCTGTTCATTATGCGTACAAGCCTCAGCAATTACACTTCCATCAAATACAAAAATACATTCAGCATGTTGAATGGACGTTAATCGATGAGCTATGGCTACAGTGGTACGACCCTCAGAAGCTTTCTCTAAAGCTTCTTGTACGACCTTTCACTATGACTGTCCATAGTACTGGTTGCTTAATCTAACAGTAAGATTTTAGGACTCCGATCAAGGCACGGGCAATAGCTATTCTTTGTTTCTTTCCGCCTGAATTCTGCCCTGAAAGCGTTTCATAACCATTAGGCAAATATCCATGATAAAATCATGGATATTTGCCATTTTACAGCATTTAATAATTTATTGATCCGTGAAGTACCAAGAAAAATATTCTCTCGAATAGTTCCCTGGTATAAAGTCGGCTCTTGCGATACAAGTGCTATCTGCTTACGGTAGTCATCGATGTTATAATCACGGATATCGACACCACCAACTACTACAGATCCTTTTTTGCGGTTATAGAAGCGTTGATTAAAGCAGTTGTTGTTGAATTATCACATCCAGAAGCAGCAACAAAGGCAACAAATTGACGAGCTTTAACTGTCAAGTTGAGACCATGAAGCACTTGGATGTGATTTCTCGTGGGATACAGGAAGTTAACATATTAAATACGATGGAAGAGTCTTCCAAAGACTCGCTTACGTCCTTCTTCAGACCAGGTATCAATTTTGGTCTGCTATCACGCAAATACTTAATCGGTCCAGAGCTTGATTTGGCCTTCGAAACGCCAGAAGCATAGCCAATAAATTGTCCAGCTTGTTGGTTACCAAAAACAATAGAATTAAAACAGGTGTAAAATTGGACCAAATTATATTCACATTTCTCATCAGTGTAGTACCATACCAAAAAGCCAGTGCATTGACAAAAATACGTCACGGCTTGCGACGCAGGAAAGAATAAACCAGATATCAAAGATGATATAGCCGTTTTTCTACCAAGTTGAACTAATGATGCCAGTAATGTTCATATACCTTCGATTCTCTCGTGAGACTCGCAACCGTCCTGATGGCTGATGTAGATTCACAAGCATATGCAGCAGACGATTTGTATGATTCTGACAAATGTTTTTCCTGAATCTTATCCAATGTAGCAACCATATAATAGCCAGCAGCAATAATAATAGTAGAAGTGACTAATGTAACCAAAGCCAACTTCCATCGAGTGGCCAGTGAAAGAATTGAGACAGAAACTACGTCTAAGAATTTGTACGAAGGTTCCGAGATAAGGTTCTTTCAATCATTCCAAATCCTGGATGGAAATTGAAAGTGACGCAGTTAAAGCACATACAATATTCTCGTTATGGTTGAAGAATTCAACATCCTGACAAAGAACAACGCGGCAGAGATGCCGACGAATGCGTTGTATAATAGACTCAAATATATATTTCATAGCATAATACATAAAGCATTACCAAAATGCAATTAGCAAGAATTAACCAATAGACACCGAGTATATCGGTTTTATGGAAGTAATATGCCTGTACGGGGTATGCAGCACCACAAACCATGGATGCGAATATTCCAATTAGTAAATAGATTAATTTCTAGATAACCTTCAATAAAAGAATGAATAAAAACCAATGTTTTCCAGGAGCTAATGCTAATTACAATACTCTCAAGTTTCCATGTTGAATCAATCTCTGTACCTGGGCTTTCTTCACCTAGATCGTTCAAAATTTTATTCGGCAAATCTGGAACAGAATCAATTGGTAATTTGGCAAGTGGATTATTGTGAAGCGAGATTGGATCCTTTTCCTTTTTCTGGCCGGAAGAAAGAGAATTCCTTGTAGAAGAACCGTGGTTTTTATCTGTGCGCAGTATATTAACAAATTCACTGATATCCTCTTCTCCTAACTCACTGACAGTATTACCGTTAATCAATTTTTTCAGTTGCTACACTTCCATTGAATTGGCATAAGCTCCATTTAAGGCCAGTAATTCAGTGTGGGTACCCTGTTCAACAATCTTTCCGCTATTGACTACTACAATGTTATCAGCATTGCGGATTGTTGATAAACGATGAGCGATGACAACCGTTGTGCGAAAACAGGAAGCATTATCTAGAGACTTTTGAACAAAAACCTCGCTTTTCGAGTGTAAAGCACTTGTTGCTTCATCCAGTAGTAAAATTTTAGGATGACTAATAATAGCCCTTGCGATTGTAATCCTCTGTTTCTGCCCACCAGACATTAAAAAGTCTCGTTGACCTACATTTGTATTGAATTATTCAGGTTATTCGTGACGAAATCAGAAGTGTTGGAATTTTGGCAGCGTCAAAAACGCGCTCGCAATTCATTCTCTGCAAGTTTTGATTACACCTCGCAAGTCAACCCAAAAGCAATGTTTTCAAGAACAGTTGCTCCAAATGAGCTGACTCCTGCTGCACTAAAGAAATATGACCGCGCAAAGATGCGGTGTTAGATCACGGAGGCCTTCTTCATCTAAGATAACTCGTCCTGCAATGGGATCATAGAATCGTTCTACAAGACCTACGATAATAAATTTCCGCTACCGCTAGCACCAACAAGGGCGGTAATTTTCCAGGAGGACACACCAAAGAAAAGTTATCCAAAACTACAACTTCAGGTCTTGCAGGGTATAAAAAACGTATATCTTTTAATTCAATTTCACCACGAACTTGGTTAACGGTTTTACCAGCGGGAGAAAATGCGTTGATTGGACTTGCTCGGTCGATCGTGTCCAAAAAACTTTTTGGCTGTTGACAAGCAATCGACAAAAGTTAGCATTTAGATGAGATATTGCCAAACTATATGATGCAATAAATACAGTAAAGAAGCAACTGATCATCCTGACTACATTCAACTCTCTAGCATGCAAAAGACGACCACCTTCCCAAAAAGCAAGACCATAAGCACTGTAAGTTACAAAAAACACCCATCCGATAATTAGACCCTTGCAGAGAAATAATGAACGCTATAACGTTTGGGCAGGGTTCAGATACTTGATATAAGGGTTGGCTAATAAGCTCTAAGTACCAAATGCAAACACATTATGTATTGGGATAAACCTCTTCAACAAACGTACTAACACTGAACAATTGGGCAATTTGGGTTTTCGTATACTTTGCAATAAAGCTAATACCGACGGTAACACCTCCAAGGAGAGCCAAAATCAAGGAATTAATAACGAGGGGGAGCTTCCAGTCTCAAAAAAGCGATAACAAATCCAGACACAAAGGTTGCAATAGCAGAAAGCACCAAACCAACCTTCTCACCCAAGCCATCTTGGAATGTAGTTTGTATCGGTATTTTTACAAGTAGTAATCACCAGCCCCAAGGCGTTGAAAGTAACCAACATTCTGACTGGGTACGGCATGTAAATAACTGACAGATTCGATGCAAGATGCGCTCATCCGATATAATAAACGTGATTTTATAAATATAAGAACAGCCGAAGGCACCGAAGGCAATATAAATAAATTACAATACGAAAAGGCTAACAGAGTGTTGAAAACCAAATATTGAAAGGCATCGGCACTAGGGCTGCTAGTAAGGTCGGTAAAGGCTTTGGCTAATTTACCAGCAACAACAGATATCAATGGCATACCAAGACCAGCACCAATAGCGGTAACGCTACCTGCCAATTGAAGCAGATAATTTCATTTATCACCGCAAATAATAATCGGAATCATCAACCTGATGATACACAAATATCGCGTTCTTCTGGGGTATACTGTTCAAAAGAATCTTTTACGACATTGACGACTTTTTCTGGATTCTCAAAGTTACTGGTAGATAGCTTATCGACAAGAACGGAATCCTCGTTAGCTTTTTCAACATTTGATTTTTAGACTCTGAGTTTCTTGAAAGTGCCATTGTGAAATATTAAAAAAAAAAAAGATAAATCGGCAATTTAAAGCTATTAAAAAAGAAGGGTGAATTATAAAAAGATATAAGACCAAAACAAATGAGGTATTAAGAAACCCAATCCAACCGAACCGACGCATGGAATTAATTGGTAAAATATATATATTAAGATAGAACACCAAAGTAATTCAGCCAAATACGAAGCAGAAGTCAACAAACATCAGAAACGTCCTCACAAAAACAGTAGGCGTGAAAAATCACAACACCTAACTTGTCTTTTTAATCTATAAAGTTGTCCAAAAAAGGTGTGACTTATTTTTGGGTGTCCCAACGACTTTCTATTAGCCATCGCTAAAAGGTACGTAAAATTATGTAAACAAATAAGACGTAAACAAACAAATACACGTCAAGTCCGTATTGTTCATGTGTTCTGTGAAAGATGAAAAGGTAAGAAAAAGGAAGTACTACTTTACAAGAATGGACTACCTTGAGTTTATACATCGTCGTGTGTTTACAAACAGATCCAACGTTTTATTTGCGTTGTTTTTTTTTTTTTCAAATTTTGTTTGTATTCTTATTCCTATTAATTGAAATTACATTTTTCTTTATACTAGGATAGTTTCTAATTGCGCGAGATTTACTACAGTCATTTGTCAAGCACTGTTTGCAACAAATCAAAAGTGCTTGATAGAACCTTTTCAGCATTTTAGCATAAAAGCGAACTTTCACAAGTAACTATTGTTTATTATTTCTCATTATATCTGGGTAAAACTAAAAAAAGGCAAGGAAATTAAGATTTATTCATTTTTAAGCTAGCCCTTCTGTGAAGGGTTATTCCGAAAAATATTAGAAAAGAAAGGAAAAGAAACGTAAAACAATTCGTAAAATAACAGAACAATTGAAAATCGGACGAAGAAATATTGTCTTTCAAAATAAATCCAGTTGCTTCAGATAACAGAAATTATATAAAAAGACAGCTTATTATAATCATCCAAGGAAACAGGTTTAGCGGGTACGTACTGAACGTCTGAATTAACAAAGCAAGACCTGGATATATAACTTGGTTGGGATAAAGGTTTGAAATATTTTATTGTCAAAAGAGATTAGTGGAATTATTTGTATGAAGGTCGTCACTAGTAAGAGCTGTAGTTTGATGGACTGAATAATCAATAGTATTTTTCATTTTCAATGGTCGAATGTACACAGCTTCTGAAATAGTGATGAACCCGTTTGTGTTTAGTGTTTTAAGCCCCGTTTGGGAATTTGCAAACCCACAATAACATCTGATGAATATGTTACAATATATTCAAAAATCCTGACGAGCTGGATTATTAGTACTCATGTATAAAAGAAATATTCATTTAAAATAATATTAAAGAATATTGAGGAAAGAATAACGATTTGGGGAAGTACTAATGTTTTGCACTTCATGAAATCCCGTGCTTTGAAAGGTGATATACGATAGCAATGCTCATATATATTGAGGACACGAAAAGAGTTGCGGTATAGAACATTAGCTTAGCAAAAGCACCGATTTTAACAGTCAAACACTTTGTAAAAATGTTATTTATTTACGGTGTTACGACAGGACCCTCATGCTGCATGCTGCATGCTTACTGCTTTTCAAGCGGGATAAACAACCAAAGTTGTATTGTAGTATATTGAATTAAAACCTGTCATGATACATTATAGACGCTAGTAATTTCCAGAAATCAGGTTTCCTATATGGATTACAGGAAGAACAATCTTATTTAGCCAGACCAGTCGAATCTTCAGTCTGAAGATTCGATTTCGACTGTAGACACAAGTTATATAGCAAGTTTGACATAGTTCTTGCAATCTGCTTTTCTGTGACTGATAGTTTCTTTTTTGATTTTCACTTGTTCAATCGGACAAACCAAAGTCGAAATGGTTTTGGTTTTTTTATAAGTCTTTTGCTTTAATTGAGTATATACAAACTAATTGTTTTTACAAAAATGTTCTAACGCACGAAAACCCCCTTTGTAAGACTATACAACCGTAGTATAAAAATAATATTAAAGTTAATACGAACAATATTTTGAGCCCCTTCGCAACATTGAAGCCGACTGATTTGCAACGCCTGAATTATTGGCAAAAGATTTGGTACGAAAATATCGCAAGATTAACTCAGAGAACAAATGATTGATTGCTTCAATCCTAAATATGAGCCAGCATAAAAGTTAGGGAAGTAAAATATCGTTAACTGAGTATTATTATTAAGCACTTCAGTCTTCTATAGTTTTGAAACGATCTGGTATTTTATATAGTAATCAAATATTTCACCCCTGATTTCTACGATATGCGAGTGTCACGTTAATAATCCTCACGGTTTATGAGAATTAAAATCAAGTGGAATCAATATTTACGATTGTAGATTTGTATACGTTAATTGGACTTAGTCATACTGAGTATATAGATGGTAGTAATGTCTAGGGATCTGGTTAACTAAATTGAAAGTAGGAAGACGATCTTATTTAGCCAGATCAGTCGAATCTTCCAATCTGAAGAATTCGACTGTGGATTCATAGTTTATGTATCTTCGCTGGGACAACTAACGTAATCTATCTCTTTGTAAACAAAAGTCTCTTTATTTGAAAGACTTCCATTCCGAAAGACTGTCCAAATGGTTGTTAAAATTGTACTTTCTTTGTTTTGTTTACCATTAGTAATATCTCTTCCTTTAATCTTTTGGCATTTACTATTATATGACAATATGTTCTTATGACAGTGTATTTTAATATATATAAATATATACATTTTAAAAACAATGAAATGAGAACTTTATTAAAATTTGATAAACTCTCATTAAACCACTATGCTATATTAAAAAGCCATTATGCCATTATAAATTCTCATTAGAATACAATCATATCATCATAAACTCTATACCACTAGCCCTTCAGCTTAATTGATGGCGATTTGTTTCTTGGATCGGGACTGCTCAATCTTTGGCAAAACAATACTCAAAATGCCATTGGAAAATTGGGCTTCAATACGGTCGGAATCGATCCTGCTGGGGATGGAGATAGTTCGAGAGAAGGATCCAAAGCGACGTTCAGACCATCTGTGGTTTCCACGATCTCCCTCGCTCTTGCGCTCATTCACGGATTTACCAGAAACGGTAAGTTTTCCTTCGTCGTAATGAACTTGAACGTCTTCCTTTTTGACACCAGGAAGTTCTACATCAACAGCAACTGTGTCTTTGCCTTCATGGACATCAATGGCAGGTGATAAATCAACAGCACGATCCTGGCGTTGAACGCGAGGGGAATAACTCAAAAAGTCGGAAAGACCGTCTTGAAATGGATATAAATCGAAAAAAGGTTGAAGAGACATTGTAAAAAGCACTCGTTTATTTCACGCAATAATTAAAATAAAAATTTACTCTTGTTCTTTTTTGTCAATGTTGTTGAATCGTCTCTACTTGACTCCCATTTATACCTAAACTACAGAAAATAACAAACATTCTATGAGGGTCTTAGTACCTTCCAGATGTGATGATTTGCCACCACCGGGTCCTTCCAGAGATTTCGACATAGTTCCTTCCGCTTCTTTGTTTCTCGTTTTTGTCCTTTATTTTTTAATTATTATTATTTTTGTAATTTCGCTTTTATTTTCATGGATGCTCTGCATTTTTCTGGTTTGTTTACCTTGTTAAACTCGCCGTTCTAGATATCTCTAGAAACTGATCTATGATGTCAAAAATTCCTCTTTTGTACGATAGAAAACGAACGAGCATTCTCGCATATTCCCACTTTATTGTACGTCGCTACCTTGTGCAATGTTTGTTTCACTATCTGCTCAGTCGCTTATGGGCTATGTAAAAAGAAAAAAAAAAAGGCTTTTCAAGTCTTTTTGGTTAACCAAGGTTAACCAAGAGCGAGCATTCCTTTTCACTCTTTTTATTTTTATTTTAAGATGATATGATAGATGATATTTTGAAAACAAACCGTGCTTTTACTCTAATACATCGTTATAATTAGGATTCTTATAAAGACAAGCACGAACCAGGTGATGATTTGATTACCTTTTTTTTTTTTTTATTAATTTTTCAATAGGAAATCTAGTAAAATTAAAAATGTATTTTCTTTATATATTTAATTTTCATTTTGTCGCTCATTTCTATTAGTCTTACCTGGATGATTAAACTCTGCTTCCTCAAAAGTTATGTTTGAACATATCAAATTACTTCAGTGAATTTTATTTTGTTATTTACATATCATTTCTTCTTTATAGTCACACTTAGGAGAGTCAATCTTGAGAACAACCTTACCGACGTGTTGTTGACTTCATTGGTAGTTATAAGCTTCGTTAAGCTTGTCAACGACAGGGTGAATATCATTAGCCTCAATACAAGCAATCATGTCTGCAAACATTTTTACAGAACTAATAACGACACCACGAACGTTAGCATTCTTGTTGAGAATTTAGGAGATCAACGCAGTGACAGTAGAGCTGGTACCTTGTTGAGTAACAAAACCAATAGAGCTAACGATTTCACCTAAAGCCGAGACCTCCAAAGATTGAGGAAATGTGTTTTCACCACCAACTTCGACGACCTGGTGATAACCAACACTGTTGGTAGCTTCCATAGCTGGCTTGGACCATTCGGTCGGGGTTCGTTTTATAGTTGATCAAGTGGCTAGCACCCAACTTCTTGACAAATTGCAGCTTTTCATCCGAAGAAAAGATGACTGTGGCATGAGCACCAGTAGCCACGGCGATTGGAGAGGAAAGGTAGAGACACCGCCAGTACCCTGGATCAGGACGTTTTGACTAGGTTTCAATTAATGGTCCCTGACACCAAACAAGGCGTTCCATGCGGTCAAGGCATCACAAGGTAAAATGGATGCCTCTTCATAACTTATATATTTAGGGAATGAACCAGAGCATGGACAGGGAAGACACCAATTTGACGGACAGCGGTCTCAGTACCGCATCCTTAGTGGGTGTTACGTCTATATAATTGGCGAAGAAATTACAGATCATGGTATCGCCAGGCTTAAATCCTTTGACGTCTTGACCAACTTTTTCAATAACGCCTACACCATCGGATCCAGGGACCGCTGGTATCTTATAACCTTGAGGATATTCTGCCTTTGCTATTGTCAGGTCCCTATAATTGAGGGAAGCAGCCTTGAGTTTCACTTAAACTTCTTTAGGCTTAATTCTAACTTGTCTGGGTTCTTGCGGTTTTACTTTTTTCAAAACCGTTCTCCTTGCCCTTAGTAACATACTGCAACAGCATTTTCAAAACGCAACAAATCTTTCATGAGGAACTTCCGATGTGTGGCTTGTTTTTATAAATTCGTAAATAAAAGAGAGAGAGGAGACACGATGGTTGACTTACGTCAACACTATTGATGTAGCCATGAACATTCACCTCATTCGTAGTGATCTTGGTAATAATAACATTGACCGCAGTTGATTCCATGAGTATATAATATTATTTGTCTCGTAGCCGTAACATTCATCATTCGGTTATGTTCTATTATTCTTTGATGAAGATAATAGATTAAAATCATCAAACTGTCATGGTTTGTAGGTGTTACACTAGTACCTCTCACGGTTTATGACAGTGTTATCGAGTGGAAATTAAGACTACAGTTGTAGGATCGTATTTCTTCAATTGGTCGATGGAACCAGAAGAGTGCTAATGTCTAGGGATGTGGTTGACAGGTCTGGATTGTAGAAAAAAAAAAAATTCTATACTCATAAGAATCAATCTCCAACCTAGAGAAGCTCGTCTCGGCTGTAAATTCGTGGGTTTCTATGGTTTCTCCAAATTCCGAGTATAGACTGAAACCAAAATTCGAATGTTGGAAGGCTCACATCCTATCTGCAGAAGGTTGAGTTTCTTGTATACCAACGAGAAGACGGGTAACGGCGTAAAGCCCCATTTGTTTGATTTGTTAGGTGAATTACAAGAGCTGGTTTACAAAGGGAGCTCCAAAAGTTGTGCCGAGATGCAAACAAATGACTTTTCGGTAAGTATTCCAGTAAATATAGCCTAGGATAACATCGTTATCATAGATATAATGTGGACGAGGCACTTAGAAGCATTGATTTCGGTAGTTAAATCCGATGAAACCAGAAATAAGCCATTTTGTTTATTTCGAATGCATGGAAGGTACCTTCCATAAAAACACCAACTTTATTTATTTTTTTTAAAATGTTGAACACTTTGGAGACTCCAATTTGATCCAAAAGTAGCAGACGCTTAATAAGGCGTTCGGTATTTTGACAGCGTCTTGAAGCAAAGCAAAAAGCTCCTTGACTTTGTTCCTTACACTCAAACGATTACTTAGGATGAGTTAGATTAGATGAAATAGTAAAATTTAGAACGGAACCACCCTTAATAAGAAAACCGCCAGTCAAAGTATCTCGTTGATAATCATAGAAAACGGAATGTACCCTTTATCTCATTACTGTTCATAATTGTTCCAAAACTTTGCTTTTATCAAACGCTAATACCCATTCTTTCGCTGGAAAGTAAGTGAAGGCTTTTCGTCCATCTAATCTTTCGAAATCAGAAGCAGAGTTATATTTAGGATGTTTCTTATCAGCATCTATCCATCGGAAACTAACCTTGGATTTAGTAGGTCAGAATACTGGAGTTCTTCTTTCATTGACGAAAACAACGTACACCAAATGAAAAAGAATAAGCCTTGCTTACCAACAAAAACTCTCGCATTTGGGAATGTCATTTCACTTGCAAAGAACTTTTAAGCAAAAGAAAAGTTTATATAAAGGAAAACGAAGATGATTCCGTCTTGCAAAATGCATGAAAGGACATTATGTTCATCCCTTATCCTTAACTCCTTGTTTGTCCAGTTATTTTTTTTAGTTTAATTTCTTAAACGAATAAAAGGGTTAAAAATCTTTTTGGGCGATATTTTTCTTTTTCTGTTTTTTAGTTTTATCTCTTGACCCTGGTGGTTGGTGATCGTAAGGAAGTTTGTGGATGAAATAACCTTTGACGAATCCGAGGAAGAAGTTGCGAGACCACTACTTCTTTGGCTACTAAAAGCAAGGTAAGATAATAGTAACGCGTTAAGTAGTTGTTAGGGCAATGTTAGTTTTGTAATCATTTATGTTGCCGGATCATACAATAAAGGAATTTAACCTGTATTGTAAGCCAAAAAATGAGTAGAAATACAGTGGAGTAGGTTCTCGTATTCCATTGTGTTTGATACTGTTATTTACTTGGATTATATTCTGTTGTGCCACATGTACCGCTAGTAGTATCGTCCATGAATAGTTAGGTAGGATAAGGAAATATATTTAGCCGAACCAAGCGTATCTTCCAGTCTGAAGGTTTCAAACTGTAGAATCATGGTTGATATAACTTTATAATATTAAAAGCAACTTGTTTCTTTGTATGTGACAAAACTTTTTTGTTTCATAAATCATTCTCTCGCTTTGCGTATTTAAAATTGTAATTCCAGGGGTTCATTTCCTCAACGAATGAACGAGTATATAATAGACACATATTGAAATACACAAAAAGAAAATAAATAAATAAAGACAATAAATAGGTATAAACTAAAAAGAATCGATTCCGTAATTTATTGATTGGTTTTCATAGTGCAGCATTTCAATTTTCAAAAGTATCCAATAGACAAACATATAATGAGCAGATTCTGTACTCAAGCAGAAGGAAATATCAACTTTCTTTAGTAAAAGTAAAAACCGATGTCTTCCATTGACTTCCTTCTTCGGTTTTTTTCAAATTCTCTATTTTCTTTTAATTTTCTTAGCCTTTCATCCTTGTTAATTTTGAATTTCCACCATCGTCTCTCTTCAGAGGATTCGCGATTGTCTCTTTTATCTTCACCTTCAGTAGAAGAGTATATACCTCTAGAAGGAGGAGAAGATGAAGAGTTTGCAATTTCGGCGTTCGATAAGTTATTGTAAGCAGCATTGTGTTCAGCAGAAGTTTCAGAATTTCTTCTCTTGTTGCGATTGAGGCTTTCCCTCGAATCAATAATGTATGGATAATAATTCATTGTGTAAGCACGTATCAATACTATATGAAGTAAAATAAAAAGAAGCCATTACATTTATATATGTTTTAAAATTTTTCTCTTACTTCAAAAAGGTTTTGCCCTATTCATATGGACTTAGCTAGAACTGATGTTTACATTACATATACAAACCCATTGGGGCGAAAAACATGGAGTGCAATAAAATGGTCAATGTATATAATCCTTTATTGCATGAATCTAGAAATATCAATTAAGATAAAAAAAGAAAAAAAAGCAGGAATATCTGAATCTTTTCATTTTTCAATCTAAATTTTAAATTTAGCCCAAGTAACATTTACTCATATAACTAGGCATGGCCAAATCGAACAATATTAGGTGGGTCTTGACAAGGATCCTTGCTACGAGATTTATATTTATCATTTATGACAGGTAAGGATCTTAGCTTGATATTCCAGTGCAACAACAGCGGCCATTTAAGTAAATAAAACTATAAGTTGTGAACTTGGTTGGTACATGTTCCTTTTTTTTTGGGTTATTTTTTTTTCCTCATTTCCATTGTCATCTTCATGAAGACCATTGAAGGATCTGCTAAATTTAGATTTTAATAATAAAACACTTTACTTATTATTTATTACTCATTTCATTTACTTCCAATTTCAATAAACTGTTGATATGGGTAGATTGATACGTATATAGAAATAGAAACCGCAATAAAGCATCAGGAATCGATGCAGTAGAGAAAGATCAAAGAAGCAGTTAAACAATTTCAATAGCTTTGCTAGCTATGCAGAATAAACCGACTAAAGACTTTTGTGATCCGAAAGTCTGTAAGTCTTCTATTAGGTACTTGATGAAGTATATTTCTCCGATAGCTCCTTATCATCTGTTGTATTAGCGATTGTTTCCAATACTTTGCTTAACGTAAACTCAATCTGATTTAAGAGACAACAAATTCGTTATCCACTCAAAATCAAAAATATAGATTGTATTTAATGTGGAGCCTGTTACGATGTACTCATGACGCCACCATGCTTCACCATACTTCTTGTGTTCTATAGCAAGGTGCAGTCGTTTCAATGACTTCTTAAGCTCCTGATAACGATTAATAAGTCCGAAAAAAGCGCTCTCTGAAGATTGTGTTGAAAAGCTCATAGGAAGCCTTCGCCAAGGGGTTCTTGAGATAGAAGAAGGTAAGCAGTGCATGGACAATATAAGGGTCGGTAAGAGGTATAAATGTCTTCTGGCGAAACGGTTCTATTATTTTCACTTAAAATTTCAAGAACGTCGCATACCTCGTACTTGCTTCTCTCGCGAGTGGGTTTCAAATCAGAAATTTACTCAAAATCTTCAATCCTGGATGGGTCCAAGTACGAGTTATTGATGATAAGAACCAGGAGTTCCATATTGCCCTTCTTCTATCGAATTTGGTAGTTTTGCGAGTGTTTCTGTTAGATCAAGATAATGATCGAGTGAGAAAAAAAGAGATAGGTTGATACAGTGTACGAAAGAGTTGATCTTTTCCCTGGCATGGTATACTCAACAGAACCATCTCGTGAATTGAACAAATCCTATTTGTCCTTTAGAGGATCCACAAATAGAAGAAAAGAAAAACTTGAATGAGAAAAATGAATCTCACAATTTCGCTCTACATTTTCATCTGTAACGCACGATGTTTTTAACAAAAGCTAACTTAAGCTCAGTTCGATAGATATTTAAAAAGAAAGAGAGTAGTAATAAATGAAAAATAAAACGCATCGAATCCAGCTGGATGATGTATGAAGGTAGGTGGGGTCAGCCTTAGGTTCCCTTTCTTTTTCCAAAAATAGTCTTCCTATTTGCTGTTGTTAAACACGTCGTCAACATATCATCAATTTGAGTATATTGTGATTATAGTTTTGTCTACTGATCCATGCATTTGGATGAAGGGTATAACGAAGGACATTTTCGAATTTTTGTGAATACGGTTCGTTTGAGACGTAATTAAAGAAATGGACAGAAAAAATAACCGTTGGATCCTCATGTAAGTAACGTGTTGTTACCAGTATATCTACAATCGCGTACATGCCTTTTAATTTTAGTAGTCGGAAGTATTAGACCTTGCGATATATTACGAAAATAAATGAAAGCCACTAGCTTAGGTGTTGAAAGCATTTTAGCTTAATATAAATGAATCAAATTACTTTGTATCATATCACACTCGAAAAAGTAGTGCAGTTACTTTCCTGTAATGAAACCTACCAAGTTTTGTCTTTGAGTTACCGAGTACTGAGTTTTCGAGTTTGCTAGATCGAGCATCCGCCTAAGCTGAGTTAGTTCCCATCTATTCGGGCATCCATCACATTAAAGCATTCACGACCTGTCAACGTCAGCGTCAATGTCAGTCTAACGAATTGTGTTTTGTTAATATAGTAAATTCTAAATTATGTCGTTGTGATTTGAAGATATTGCTGGATATTAGCAAATATCATCAGGCTAAAGAATGATATACTACAAGTTGTAAAAAAAAAAGCATTGAAAATACAACATTAAAAATGGACGAGAGAAAGTTGAATTACAAAATAGTTAAATTATGCTAAGTATATCTCCGAAGGTATTATATAAAACCAATTGGCCTATAGCCTAAAGTTCCAGATTGAATGATTCGGCTGTTTGACTTTATAAGATGTCTTTTCTCATTAATTTAGGGTTAACCAAATCCCTGGACGTAATACATCGTCCAAATGTAGTAATAATTTCCGCTCGATAAAAAAGTCATAAAGCGCGAGATTTCTTCCATGACGGTGAAACTTCAAGAAATACAATATTCTAATTGGGAAGAGTCATGGTATCGATTGTACAGAGGAAGGATGGGCGTAGTAAAAGAGTTTTTGTCTAATGGTTATTAACTTTATGTTTAACTAAAAGCCAACTAAAAATGGAAGAAAAGAGGTAAAAAAAAAAGATTATAAGAAAAATAGAATTAAGCAAGAAATAAAATATATTCATTCAGTCAAATCAAAGGAGTGAAAACAAATGTTCTCTTCGAAGCATATTAATCACAAGATCCTCAGACACTGAACTGCAGTGATCGGACGGGAACTGGTGTTTTCGCCTAGGTATGGTTAGCTTTACCAAACAGTTTGTAGGGAGAATACTTCTGATTGGGGATGCATTCTTCTCGAAAACGATTCATAGAAACACTTGTTTTATGAATCTCTTGGGTTCTCGTAAAGAATAGAAATTGTGACAACATCCGCTGACTTTTGCCAAAGCCCCTCTAAAAAAGTGTTGATCAACTTTTTGGGTTTTAGAAAAATGAATAGAATCTTTTCAATACATTGAGATATTGATTGGAAAAGTTATCAACGGTAAACTTACTTCCTTAGTAAGAAGTTTCACTGCTTTGAATAAGTTACTATTAAGAACCATCAACCATAAAGGATAACTCTCATCTTCGATAGAACTGGGAAAAAGAGAGAGAGAGAGGATCCATTTTTCTTTTTTTAAAGTCATACAGGATAATTATGCGATTCTAAAAAGCCTAATATGGCGAATAGGAATAGGCATTACCCGAAATAAAAATGCTTAGGAAAGTGAGAGTTTTAATCTTCAACAGCAAAAGTTAGAAAGCTTTAAATAAGCTTTATAATAAGAAGAGAAGAGAAGAAAAATTCTGTTCTGCTCGTAACGTTTATCAATGATGACGAGGCCTGCGTGTACCTGCCCGTTGATTTGGTGCACTATTTTGGTTTCCTACGTCTCGAAGGGATTCATTGCTGTCTGACAATTCGTATAAAATATCCTGGTGAGTAACAAAACCAGCATAGTCTGCGATTTTTCTTTTAAGAGACTTTTGAGGCTCATTCTCGTCATACTTAAACCCATATCCCTCCGCTTACGTTTTCAGTTGCTGTGGATTCAAATTGTCAACGTCGGAGATAGTTTTTAACTCAGGTAGCTCAGCAGGAGGTTCCTGTCCATTAACAAATGGAATCGGTTTTGTATCCCTGGCGGCTTTTCTATTAATTATGTTTTCAGATCTTTGTGCTGAGGTCCTTGTCTTGTTAACTTTGGAATCAATTTTGCTGCATTGTAAATAGGCATCACCTTAATTAATTTGAACGTTGTTGTTGACAGATCCAAGCTGTCCTTCTAATCTGCGTTGTCCTTGAATCATAACTTCTCTGAGGCTATTCTGTCCTTCTTGGAGGCTATTTTGTCCTTGAATCATCTCTTCTCTAAGCTCTTGAAGCATCCCACGAATTTCAGACATGTTATCTTGTGGACGAGTCTCTCCTCGAAGTTTGGATATAACGGCTTCATGAAGGCTCGTCAACTTGCTTCTAAACGAATCAAACTGATCCTGGGGAATCGCCTGTGAGAATTCAGCTATGAAACGGCTTAAGGAAGCATCAGAATCATCAGATGGTGGAGGAATTCCAAAAGGGTTCGTAAATAAATCTTGACTCATTCTTGAAATTCTTAAAAAAGGGTCAGCGAAGCCAATTTTGTAGCAACTATTGGTCACAATGAAAAGGTGTTGGTAGTTGCTTTGTTTGTTTATTTGAGATGAGGACACTTGCTTGGGAGGTCCCCCTGTTGTCAAGTGGAATTACGGATTCCTTCAACTCCGTTAAGTGTTTGACGATTGTTAACGCATTGATGATCGTCGGGCGGTATGCTGGTGTCGGTATTACAGAACGCGTTTTGTTAAGATTATGGTTCTTAGAATACGCCGCTGGTCAAGTAATAATCTCACACGTTATGAGAATGTAAATCGAGTGGAAGTAATAAGTACAATTACAAAATTGTCTATTGGAATTGGACGTTTACTACGTAGAAGAATAGTAATATGTCCAGGGATCTGATTAACTAAATTGAAAGTAGGAAGACGATCTTATTTAGCCAGACCAGTCGAATCTTCCAATCTGAAGAATTAGACTGTGAATTCATAATTTATGTATCTTCGCTGGGACAACTAACGTAATCTATCTCTTTGTAAACAAAAGTCTCTTTATTTGAAAGACTTCCATTCCGAAAGACTGTCCAAATGGTTGTTAAAATTGTACTTTCTTTGTTTTGTTTACCATTAGTAATATCTCTTCCTTTAATCTTTTGGCATTTACTATTATATGACAATATGCTCTTATGACAGTGTATTTTAATATATATAATATAAACAAGACACTTATCGTGACAGACAGACAGACAATGACAAATATATATAATATTAACAACACACCTCTCGTGACAATGACAGGTACCTATTTTTAAATCAAAAATCTAACACCTTTTAGCAATTAACAATTATATTCCACTTATTACCATACTATATGGGACATTATTGACATGAAAGTAACTGGATCTTCAATGATTAATAACACTTAATGTAATATAACATCCGATCTTTAGGTTTCAAAGTGGAAGGGTCAACCAGCTCTGCTTGTGTACTTGGCGGATACACAGCCTCTTCAAGGAGTGTATCCTTAGCTGGGAAAACCAAGTTTAAGACATAATAAATCAAGAATGCAGTCATAAATGCGTAAAAATACCCAATATAGTACAAGTGTGTGATACCTTCAGGCATTATTATGTTGGTATTGATACTCATTGCCATTCCAGGTAATAATGGAACCGAGCCGCACAGAAAGGCGACGAGAGCTCTCCAATTTGTTCCAAATGTATTGTATCTGTAAATTCCTGCTGGGTTGTAAAATTCATCAATGTTGTATTTATGATGATTTTTTAATTTATCGGCTATCAGAATACCGGCAGCTGGACCAAGGAAAATACTTAGCGAACCTAGGAAAGCTAAAAATGAAGCACCATTTTGCAAGATTTTCCAAGGAACAATAGCCCAAGCACCGATGACAATAACAACTATCTGCGCCCTTCTAATATCTAGATACTTTGGGAAAAAGTATAAAAGATCATTGGCCGCGGCAACAGTATTATCAGATATATTTTGTGCAATTTGTGAAATCAAATAAGTAAATCCCATAAAAAATGCTGCGGCTCTTCCTCCACTAGAAGTCCAGTTATTTGCGATTTCTAATGGATCCCACATAGCACTTCCATACATTATTTTCGAAGCGACTCCTGAAATAATTCCAATGGGCGCAGACACAGCGGCAATTACGGGCAGAATAAGAAACTGAACATAAGGTGCCTTCGGGTGTTTTGCATATCTTGTGAAGTCATTGACATTCACAGCTAAGGTAGAAAAACCCGTTACAGAGGCATTTAAGGCATACATAAATACCCATGACCATTTACTTCCTGAAACTGTAGCTGGTTGATCCCATACCACGTTGCTACCTGCGTTACAGAGTAAAAAAATAAGCATTGCAAAGCATGCTATGTAAGTAGAGATGGATTTGACCAAAAAGAAATTTTGAAGATATTCTGGCCTAATCAAATGGAAAGGGACAGAAATAACCCAATATACAAAATAACATATCATGAAGTTGGAAGTAATTCCAGCATCTTCTGGTAATCGATTTTTATATGTTCGGAAGGATTTAAAAATAGCATACAATATCGTTTGGATACATTCTGCACCCGTATAAACATTGGTACCATAATAAAATAACCCAGCGATTAAACGTAGCAAGATAATCAACGTATTAAAATAATAACCGAAGGAGGCTCTAGATTGAATCGCGAAGGGAATATGATAATGTGAACCAAACAAACCATTTAACGTCATAGGAATGGAAATGAAAACGTTTCCCATTATCAAAGCGGCAAGTGCCTGCTTTGGCGATAAGCCCATTTCCATGTATGAAGTTCCTGTTCTGAATGCGCTAGCACTCAAACCATTACAACTCCACAAATAAAAATAATCCAATGCTTTGTATTTTCTTCTTTCTGGTGGGGTCGGATGCAAATCATGATTTATACGTTCTACATTACTTGAATTAATTTCTAGCTTTCTCAAGAAAGATGAAAAACGACTTTGAGGTTTAAGATCCACAGAGGAGCTTTCTCCATAGCCAACGTCCAGGTTTTTCTCACTTAATCCAATCTCGAGTTTTTTGTCAGCTTTCAGTTCTTCCATTTTTAAAGCTTGGGTTACTTGGTATACTTAAAACTAGAAAGGAAATAGAAATTAATATATCATTTAGAGATACGTTATCAGTTTTATGGTATCAAATTATTATTGCATGTTGTTCTTGATAACACTGGCTTTCACAGACGGAGAAAACCTAGAATTTCCGCGGTTACTACATGAATTAAGTACTCATTTACCGCAGATTGCTTAGTAAATTGGACAAAATGGTGTACCTTAGTATGTCTGGCACACCAAAGATGACCTTCTTGTCTTTGTTGAAAGTTAAATTGAATTCTATATGGAGTGCCGTTGTACAGGCACAGAGGTATACCGTTTTGTATATTTGTTGTTTGAATTTATCGTAGAATTAGTTAAAAAGAATGAACAAACAAATAATAATCTTACTATCAAATTTTAGATAAATGTTAAATAAAACAAATTGAATAACCCAATTTAAAAAACTTTTGATAAATAACCGAAAAAGGAATGATCGTTTTATTCTTTTAAATTTCTAAACGTTAATAATGCTGTTTTTAGGGCGATTCTCAACTCACTCTTGCTGTATATTTTTGTTAACTTATGTAAGGGTTTTAAAAAAACCAATTAAATGATCATTTTCAAACTCGATTTTGTCTTGAGAAATACGGTGGTATATACCATGCATAGAGGACCTGACCTGCTGACCTGCCACTCCAGCTTGACTTCAACCAAACACAGATTATGCAGCTTTCAATAAATTTTGGGGTTTAAATGCCAGTTTCACTTTAGGGATAATTCACTGTAGAAATTGTTTTCATGAAAACAAAAAAAGCTCATACAACCTGCTGAAACTTTTCCTGTTTGTTAAATTTTTTTGATTTTAAAATCGCTTACCTTTTTTTATAACTTGTTTTTCACTTTTTAATTTTAGTTTTAGCTTTAGTTTACGTTTACAGTTGTTGTTTGCAGTTCGCCCCAGTTCGCGTCGCACATCGTCAATTGCATTCTTTGACCGTTTTCGGAGTTTTCCGTCTTTATCTTTGTTGGTTGCTGGAATTACGTATAACATATGATATTTGATTGCAGATTTTGCTCAGAATCGTTTCTCAATCAAAATGCAATTATCATCGTTGAGCTGTTCATCATTCTAGTGTTTCGATTCGGATACCCTATAGCTATGGCTCCACCGTGCTATCACTCATGAGGAGGACTATTTCTTTGCATGAAACAGTATACGATTCCTCAGAAAGTGAAACAGCATGTCCATGGTTGTTCCCACTCTGTTGAACAACATAAAGTCAATGAGATGCAGAAACTTCACGGCAGTAACGCTAAATATTACAAACATCGATACAAACGATGCTGTCAGTAAGGAAAGCCAAGTATTCAATGTACGGCACAAGTGAACATTGAAAATCGGTATCCGTTAGAGCCATCCCCGATCACGGCATTCTCTATTCTTGGTCTTTGCAAAAGAGGAATGATTGAGCAAAAAACTTGTTTGGCGGTCAACAGAGGATATTTTGGGAATGACTTTATATGGAGAAATCAATTCCAAACTAACGACTTATGGCTTTCAGATTTTGTCTGTCATGGTCGTGGCGTGTTTGTCATATGAATCCGTTGTGGATGTACCAGCTGTTAAGCGAAGCTTTAAGAGGGAGCATCGTTTAGATTTAGACAATCATGTAAATCAAGAGCTCCATGACTTGCGTTTATAACGATGTTGTTAGTCCAAGCTAAGTATCCTTCGCAAAAGAAAGTCTATCCCTATATTAAATGATACCCATGCTATTGGACAGATAACGAATGTGTTCCCTGTGTGTTTAATTCAATAGCCTATGTTCAAGAAAAATTTGACACGGTTTGCCATTATTTGCGGCATCACCATGGGGAGGTTAATATGGAGGAGTGTACACGCCGTTTGCCTCTACAAACGTAGAAAAGCAAAAACTATCAGCGACATCGCTATTTTAAAATTGACTACCCTGCGGTCGCTGGAAAGGATGGACGAAAGACGCAGGCAGAACAAATTGATCTGTATATCGAAACTTTGAGGAAAAAAGGGTGCCGCAAGTAGAGCAGCTTCTGGAGAATCCTCGGAACAAGAGTCCAATGCGGCAGGAATTCAAATGGCTGGAGGCCATGAAGGAGTTTGGACCCACTTGGAAGCAAGTGATTTGCTGATTATAATAGCGAAAAATTACCCCAAGGACTATTGTGTAGTAGTTAATTCGCTATTATTATTCTCTAGAATCGTGTATCAAACCATTCAAAAGCCTTTCGGATTTCGGGTCTATCACCATATTGCTCAATTAAAGAAAAAAATTTCGAAGAATATCCTAAGATCTTTGTTCTGATTTAGAAACAAGAAATACTGTAACTACAGCTTTTCAAATATATGGTCGTACTTTCGATAAGCATTCCTCACTTGCCCAAGGACTTCATGATTAACTTCTACAAGGCGAGTTGTAAGCGAGAAGAATTATTGCAAATCTATATTACATAGTCATAGACCTTTGTTCAACTCATCGCAATGATCATTACCACGGTGAAGGTAATCAAATCGTCCTAACTACCATAGCGCAAAACAGACGCAAGGCTCCAATCATTAAGCCAGCCAGTGGCTGGTGGTACCGATAGTTTAACGACAACGACTACGACTGCAAGTGAGCAAACGAGACTTGTCACCTAAATTAGGAAGAAAAAAAAAACGGGAATTTCAGTGTCAGTAGCTTTATTGCCGTTACCGTATGTAACCAACCTTCGTGGTTTTTCATTGTCATGCTTTACAGAACAAAACCGAATTTCAGAACGGAGAAGCAAGTTCAAGCGCTTATTTCTTCGTTTTTAAACAAAACAATTTGATCGCGGTCTTTCCGACGAGATCAGGAAAGTCTCTGACTTTTGTGCTGTCCGTATTTATAGAAAAGCAACAGAAATCTGGGCTGATTACCATTGTTTAAGTCCATTACTGAGGCAAGGCTTGTTTCGAATAAATCGACGAGAGATACCGTTTTGTATGTTCGGATGTGGACACGAAATAAGAATGCTTCGCTCCAATCTTCGAATCTACTGGATCTATTTCTAAGTCTGCACTAAACGATGATATTGTTCTTTTTTAGGAGCCTTGCTGAAGCAGGGCGCGCTTTGTCATTGATAAAGCGCATACTTTGTTTATGGATATCGATTGGAGGCACGTCTTGTGCAAAATGTGGAAATTGTCTTGAATTGCGACACCCGTTCTTCTTTTAACTTTAATGATTCCTCACGCATTAAAAGTCTTGTGCCAACAATTGTTTCAATTAATTTTGTTCAAGTGGTTTGAAGATCTACTGAGAGGAAAAAGATACATCAATTCCTCAGACCCTTAAAAAAGGAGGATTTTTGCAAGATTTATACAGCTTAATAGGAAAAGCAAATGCTGTGAGGGAGATGGTTGTGCAAACGTGTTTTGTCAAACAAAGGGGAGTATAGAATTATACAGATGGAAGTTAACCCTTCTAAAAAGAGACTCATGGAATTCCGTTCACGGGCGATTAGCAGACGAAGAGCGAAAAACTAGTTTCGATATGTTTACAGATCTATTTGGTAATGATTGAATCTTGGTCGCAACGTAGGCCTTTGGGCTTGATGTAAATTATTATGATGTGCGGCTTGTGGTTCGCTATGGCTCGCCGTCGTTAGGGATGGATTATGCTCGGAGACAGGTCCTGCAAGGAGAGATGCCGGGTTTGCCGTTACTGCTTTGTAGAGAACATGGTACGAAAAATCTATTTGATAACGAATCATTGTGAGTTCTGTCGCTTTTTGTGGTGAATGCAGTGATTGTGACTTTCTTCCAGACTGCTTTTTGTTCTCGATGTATGCCTGAATTGCTGGATAAAAAAGAGTCAATTTTGATTGCAAAGCAAAACAGGAACGATTCTCTCTTTCTATCCTCGAAATACTCTCCTTCTTCTTTTACAGATGATCATCGGCAATCGATAAATCGTTCAAACTTTGGAAAAGAGCCACGTTTGCTTCGGAATGTGGATTTTCTGACTTCCACTCCGTCACCTACTGTTCAAAAGATTTAGCTCAAGTTCTTCGGCTAGCAATAAATGGCACAGTGTCATGCGAATCGGAAATAACATAAGTTCCGTCGCCGACTTACTGAAAAGCAATCATCAAAAACATTCGTTGGCACAAATTGTTGATGATTTGTATAATAATGCGCTCAATGAATATAAGAAAAAGTATGAGGTTATTAATGAGAAAATGGGTAGAATCATTGTCGAAAGCGGCTTGTCGGAAAAGGTTTTTAAAAAACTTAACCAGAAATGCCTATACTGTTATATTGAAGAACCTAAGGCTCGTCTTTTAAGACATAACGCATGCTGTCCATCAGAGTTGTTATCAATGCCGCAACAGGACCACAATTAGAAACTATCCGTTTCAGATGTACTATAGAGGTCTTTGCTTACTATATTGTGGATTGACTAAATCTTGAAGAAAATGTTAAGAGGATCCTTACAAGCAAAGTTGCAAATCCCTGGGGGCAGAGATCGTCTAATTGCACTTGCTTTTTTTGTTCGGGAGAATGTGTAAGTACAAGCTGATGGTTCCTTAAATGGGAACACAAATGATCAGAATTAAGTAACTATTGTTTGTTACTTTGCAAATGTGTCATCGGAGTTTGTCAATGTCGTTTACTTCGTAAAGAGTGACATTCTTGGTGTTGTTTGAGAAAGAAGACAGAATGCTTTTTTCATTTTATTTTTTATTCTCAAACTTGTAATTAAAAAATTTAAGAAAGTCCAAGAATAATGGAATGTTTAATTGATAAACAGTGAATAATGTATAGAACGAGACTAGGATAGAATTAGGTCAGCGGCTGAATTATTTACATCGAAGAATTCTAATTAATGTTGCATGTCAAAGTTTACCACTTAATTTCTTGTAATTTAGTTAGCATGGTAGTAAGTTCGTTGAAAATGACAAAGAAAACGAAAAATTAAGCAGTACAAAAAATAATGAACAAGAATCAATGGAAAATGACAGACAATATCGATTTTACAGAAAACCAAAAGAATTAGCCAATATATTTATCTTAAAATCTTATCATTTGGATTTGTTATCTTTAGTATTCTTTTATATATTGCTTCTGTTAATATTTCACCACGATATACAGAATTATACATTAGTAGATCTTGCATTTAACTTGTATTACTTTGTATTATTGTTGTGTAGTTGTGCAAAAACGGGGTTTCAGGCGTTGAATGTAAAAAAGTAGTTGTTTATATAGAAATAGTAAAAGAAATTCATATACAAAGACCTTTATGATGTTGATCTTCCGGATAGAATAAAAGAATTCAAAAAATAATTGATTTTTGGAAGGAAAAAATGTCACTTTCACGATAAGTGTTTTGCAATATTCTTGTCATTGTCACGATAGATGTAGGGTAGCAAAAGCAAACCGAGACTTACAATAGAGAAAATAAAGGAAGGAAAGGATAAGGCAATGACATACTCGTGTAAGCAAACTGTCATCATAAACAAATAAAGGAATAAGGTATTAATTTTCTAGGTAGTAATTATTATTCTAAGTCTATATATTATAAGCTCGTTTTGAGGAAATCAAATTGCAAAACATCTTTCTACGGAATCAGCATTGTTTCCCGAACTTCTACTGGCAGTTCTTTTAGGTCATCTTCTAAAGTTTCTTCTTTCTCCTCCTTCTCCCAAAAATCTTCTTCTTTTACGTCCGTTAAAGAAGAATACAGTTCTTTTTCATCTTTCTTTTCTGATCCATTCAATTCTGATTCTGGGGGAAAAGATGAGTCTGTTACCTCTAACTTTGATTCAGCTTTAAACATCTTCCTTCTAAAGACAATTTTCTACAAGCACTGTGCTTCCATCCTCTTACTTAAATACAAATTGATAGATGTTTTCTTAAGCATGCTGTTTTTTGGTGATTCAAGTCTTGGAACGAGCTTTATCAAGTTCGTTACTTCATCGTGTTTTATCTCTCCAACGTACAAGTTGTGAATGTCCGAAATGGTCATTTGCGAAACATCTATTGATAATATTTTCTTAGAGATACTGTAACGGAGGGGTCTTATAAATCAACCGGTTCGGTAAATCTTTAAATACTCAACGAGGAAAGGAATAATACTTAAAAGTTGTTTCGGAGATTCCCCCCCTCGGCGGGTGGAGTGGGAACTAAAGAAATGTGAAAATGAAAAGAAGCAAAGAAACATGAAACCTATAAGAAAATAAATAGAAATGCTTATAGTAACAATTATATTTCAGCCATTTACAAATAATGATTCATGGTCTACTGATTTTGTTATCGTCAACTCTGTCCCATCTTGTCTACCAATACTTGATACCATGAAATTGCCATACGTTGGATTCTTCATATTTTTGTAAGGATAAAAGTGAAATGTCGCAAAAATGTATCAAATTTAATATCGGATGAGAACTTGATTATTGACATTTACTTTCGTGTGTTTATTTTTTTCCTTTTTTTTACAACGAGAAAAGCAGGGTAAGGGAGTAACCGATGGTCAAATTTTGTACTTTTCATGTGCAGACTCTTAACTTTTTGGAGGATACATAAATTGCTTACATAAATGCTTTACTTTAATAAAGTTCTCTTCTAGTCATCAAATACCATCAGCATTTGAAATTTTAATAAATGAACATATTCTTGAAACATAGAACATTTTTACGTCTAAGCATTAGGTGATTATCAATGTGTATTTTATTTTACTTTTATTGTCCCTCGATAGTGTATAGAAAACTTTTCCATCACGTCCTCCTCCTTATTGCTATTACTGAATCTTTATTATTAAATCAGTATTATATAGTTTTGCGAACCTAACTGAAACTTAAAATATATTTTATCTTAAGTTATAATTTCAAAGGCGCCTTGTAAGATTTTTGAAAAACGGCAAGAATGTGTAATAAGATATTTACACTACTTTGGACTTTTCAACAGCGGTAATCCTTATACTCATGACTAAGCATATGGTCAAAGTGGTTAATTGAGTCGTTGCTAGGGTTCGCCGTTTAAAAAATGAATGAATCTTCCAACGAATAACTTACTAAATAAAAATATAGATACTTATATAATAAGTCAATACCAATAAAAATATTCTGAATTATTGGAAATGGATTTCAACAAAGTAGTTTAGCTAGAAAAAGCGGCTTTCGTAACATAAACTACTGGGGAGTTGTGTAGCTAATGATCAATATTAACTTAGAAATTCCTAATTAATCCTCAGTTACTTTTCCAATTTATTTCAAGTTTTTAGTATTGAATACACTGATAAAATATCCAAAATCAGCAATATTAACGATAGTAACTGAAGGCTACTTCATCAGCAAGCTTTCAACGAGATTGGGAGGAACACACTGAAAAAAAATAAAAAAATAAAAAATTTAAAATAAATATAAAATCCAACAAATATAATTAAATTTCCGTTTCTATTGCCAGTTAAAACTCATCGTTCACTGATAAGCGTCTACGAAAGTCACTAACTTTTTGTTAATCTTGATGCTGCATACATCACGGTTTTAAAGTAAGCAGAGTTTTGAATATGATAAATATTTTTTTTTAGCAGAATGCTTATAATAGCTATTGTGGTGTATCGCTGATTAAAAATTTACTTTTTACTTTTTACTTTTTACTTTTTAAAAGTAAACAAAATCAAGAAATAACGTATTCCACTAGACGTGCCAATATATGCAGTCAAAGTTCTTCCTGGTAGGTTTCATATCATTGTCAACACACTATCACAATATCGGAATGGGCTGATACGTATTTTTATCTTCGTTCAACGAATATGATTCCAGAGCATCGCGGTTATCTCACAACCACCAACAGGAGCTCATAAAATAACCAATTTTTTATATGTTTTTAAATTCAAAAAAAAGCCAAAATAAAAAAAGATTATGTTTTTCCATATATGGGAATTTAAAAAAAAAAATTTCAACAAGAAAGCTTAACAACTCTACTTTATAATGAAGAAATTTAATGGGTATAATGCACTTTCTCAAAGAAAACAAAAGTATGAGGATGCACCAAAAACGAACAAAAGAAATTTAATTTATAACCATAATATTAGGGAAGACGACCAAGTCTTTCTATCAAAACTTCGTAAAACTCATCATCGTTTACTGTTCTTAAAAACAGTACATTAGCTGGCAAAAGACCAACCTGCCACCAATCCACAACACTCATACCCATAGTTAACTCACTTTGCGTTTCTATTTGTACATTAACTTTTCTACCGGAATACAGATCTGGGCGTAAAAGCCACATAACAGTATTGGGATCATGAAGAGGACCGCCGTCGGTTCCGTACTTTTTCGCTTCATATTCTTTTTCCATACGTAACCATGCGGCAACTACGGGACCAATGCGATTTGGTAAAGCTTCTATGCGTGAGATTCGTTTGGCACTTGTATGCAATTGATGAGTAATATCCAAAGGAATCATAACAATAGGAATTCCAAAAGAAAGAACCATCTGCGCTGCATGGGGGTCAACATATATGTTAAACTCAGCAGCCGGCGTAATATTGCCTACTTCTGAAAAAGCACCTGCCATCATTACTATTTGTTTGGCATGTTGCATAATTTCGGGAGCTTTAATTATTGCCAAAGCAATATTTGTTAAGGGACCAATGGTACAAATTGTAACAGTTCCAGGCTCATGGTTCAGTAAGGTATCTATGATGAAATCGACAGCGTGTCCTTCGTTTTCCTTTCTATAGGTCGGAGGAAGAAGTGCACCCTCAAAACCACTAGCACCATGAACATGAGTGGCTGTAATTGGAGTCCGTAGCAGCGGCTTATCTGCTCCCGCGTGAACTGGAATGTCTGGGCGACCTGCTAAATCTAACATTTGTAACGCATTCCTCGTGGTCATAGAAACAGGGACATTTCCGGCAACTGTTGTTACACCTAATAAATTGATTTTTGAACTAGCAATCGCAATCAAAGCAGTTATGGCATCATCTTGACCAGGGTCTGTATCGATGATTATTTTCATTATAGCGAATGGTATAAATTCTGTATAGAGCTTTATTACTTAATACTTTCAAAAAGGTTGGAAAATTCCTTTAGTCTATGGTACCCAAAAGTGAATTTTAGTGTCCCCCCCCTTTTTTTTTAAATAGTGTTAAAAGAGAATGTTGCTGTTGGCTTTAATCCACTTTTGTAACAATGGGTATATTTTTATACAAAATAAGAAGAATAATCATTATCGAAAATTCATCCTAATCTTTGATAAACAGCTCCTATGAGACACTAAGCACCTTAAATTTGTTCGGGGTCTAAGCGCGGTGATAATGAATATTCTAATCTTCTACTTATCATCAAATAGTCAAACTTAAATAGCGACAATAATGGGTTGCAAGTCTAATGAACTTAGTAAACTTCGTTGTATACACTTTCAGGTTTGCAACTTGATTAGAACAAATACATAAGTAATTATAGGCAGCACCCGTTATGAAAGTTGTGCCGAGCGATAAAATCAAACCAACGTGGTGGAGAGAGACCTCAGTTTATCAAATATATCCTGCCTCATTTAAAGATTCAAATGATGACGGCTTTGGTGATTTGGGAGGGATTATTTCCAAAGTGGATTATTTGAAATCCCTAAACGTCGAGTCTGTTTGGCTTTCTCCCATTTACCCATCTCCTCTTAAAGACATGGGTTATGATGTTTCTGATTATAAGCAAATTGATTCTAGATACGGGTCCTTGAAAGACTTAGACACTCTAATGAAAGCTCTGCACGAAAGAGATATGAAATTAGTTATGGACCTGGTGTTGAATCATACGTCTGATCAACACGAATGGTTTAAGGAGTCCAGATCTTCAAAAAAAAATCCCAAACGTGACTGGTACGTTTGGAAACCAGCTAAGTATAACGAAAAAGGGGAACGGTCACCACCTAATAATTGGAGCAGCTATTTTGATACTTCAGCATGGGAATGGGACGAAGCAACACAAGAATACTATTTACACCTTTTTGCTGTAGAGCAACCGGATCTCAATTGGGAAAACCCAAGTCTCAGAGAAGCTATACACGATATTTTAAAATTTTGGCTTGACAGAGGTGTAGATGGATTCCGACTCGACGTTATTAACATGATCAGCAAAGATCAGGAATTTCCAGATGCTCCCATTACTGATAGCCAATATGAATACCAACTGGGCTATCAATATTATGCCAATGGACCCAGAATTCATGAATACCTTAGTGGCTTAGGTAATATTCTTGAGAAGTACAACGCCTTTTCGGTGGGTGAAATGCCTCATGTCACAGATACAAAGGAGGTCCTTCGTGTTGTTGCTGCTGACCGTAAAGAATTAACAATGATATTTCAGTTCGATCTTGTTCAACTAGATTCTGAACCTGGTAAAGATAATTACGCTGAAGGAACTTGGAAGCTTTCAGATTTGAAAAAGTCATTGAAAAAATGGCAATCTGTACTTCTTTCTGGTGGTGGTTGGAATGCTAGCTTTATTGAAAATCATGATCAACCGAGAGCTGTTTCACGATATCTTTCGGATTCTCCAAAGTATAGATCCTATAGCTCAAAGCTGATGGCTCTCTTTATCATATTTCAAAGTGGAACTCCATTTGTATTTCAAGGGCAAGAACTTGGACTTGCCAGTATTCCTAGAGACTGGCCAATCGATGAATACCATGATGTCGAAACTCAAAACTCCTGGAAATTGTTCATGAGTAACAACCCTACTAAGGAAGAAGTTGAAAAGAAAATGAATATTATTAATAAAAGGGCGCGTGATAATGGTCGTACTCCGATGCACTGGGATAGCTCACCAAACTCTGGCTTTACAAAAGCTGGAATAAAACCATGGATGAGGATTACCGATGACTATAAAGAATGGAATGCTGATATTCAAATCAACGACCCTGAGAGCCCTTATACGTTTTGGTCTAAAGCTTTGAAGCTTCGTAAAGAACTAAAAGGTGCAGTCGTATATGGCTCTTTTGAATTAGTTTCTGAAGATAATCCTTTTATCGTTGCATTTGTTCGCGAATCAGCATCCTACAAACTCTTTGTGGTTTTGAATTTTACTGAAAACACGGTTTCATACGATTGTCCTTTCAATTTAACTTCTTCGGAAATTCTTCTTGATAATTATCATAATTTTGCTTGTATAAATTCCTCAGTCTTGTTGAATCCCTATCAAGCAGTTCTTTTAAAGCTTTAATTTTTTCCAGATATTTTTTATTGATGCTATCATAATAGCCATGTCGTTTTCAGTCTTTATACTATTCCAGACTTTGGTTTCAGTCTTTTTTTTGAAAAGGGGTTATACAAGATATATCAATGTTTCCACAAACTCTCGTTAGCTTCACCGTGAATGACTACTTCACACTCCATTAAGTTTTGGAACACAAAGGAAAAAGAAACTGGAAGAACAAAACGCTGCATTTAAGATAAATGGCAGTAAATTATTTAATAATTGATTTTTCTTCTTTTTATCACGTTCATCAAAATCACTGTAAGATGATTATTGGTTACTACTCAATAAAAAATATATTGTTAGTAAAATTTATCTATGAATTGCCTAAGATTTTTTGCTCTCAGTAATTTATATATTTCTGTGTACCTTTAAAACCCGAATGTTCTCCGCATTAATCTTCACATTAATTTTGGAATAAATAAGAGTAATTAAACAAATATTTACTATTTTGATATAATAAGCACATACGAGAAGCAATGTATTCCAAGATTGTTGTAAAACGAAAAGAGAGAGCGTTGCATTATCAACCAATGTGGTACGAAAATCATGCTCTCTAAGAGAAAACGAAGTCACTCTTCTGGCTTTCGCGTTTTCTACTTGGTAATCTGGGAACGATGGCATAAGCTATTTATTTTTCCGCTTTCCAAAATACACGCTAGCATTCGGATATACGGCTAGTATTGATTTAGGTTAAAGGTAATATATGGTCGACAATTTTCTCTTTCCCTATTGAACTAGAACTGTTACGTTTGATCTAAGTAAAATCCGCATCCCCATATTTATTGTGATCTCCACAACATTACTTCAACTATTTCATGACTAAAAATTGCTAATTCAGATTGCCGGTTATTCTGTATTCGGATTTCAAATTCAAGGAAAAACATAAAGAAACATGTATTTTATTTTCTTCTCCACGGATAGTGACGTAACAGAAACCTTCATTTTATTATTGTACTTAAGCATAAAGGATTTTCGACCATAGTATGAAACAAACGAACAACTAACGAAAATACGGAAATATGTTCCCTTGAATTTAAAAGTCGACAATGTGAACTCACTATATTCCATCCACATAAACGACCTTCAGTGTATAAAATCTCAATTATCACATTAAATCCGAAGAAACAGACGACCCAGACTTCATTTTCGTACATCCCTCAAATCTTCTTTACGTTAATATCCCTGGTTTCATGCTATGCATCTTTCTTGCCGCTCTTGATCAAACAGTCGTTACTACTTCTATCGTCACCATCGTTAGAAATTTAAGCGACAGCTCGTTGTTCTCATGGAACCGTACTGCCTATTCACTTAGCAGTAACCGCTTCCTGCATCTGATAGGAATAACGAGAAAAGTAGCTGCTCCTGCGGTTAATCCAGCGCTCTGGAGATTCACTCCTGTTACGATTTTGCCGCCACCTCAACAAAATCCGATACTGGAGTACTAGGGTTGATGTAGTTCGCTTCCGTTTCTTTTAAACGTCGTTTAGAAATCCGATTTTATGGTTCTTTAACAGAGTAGAGAGCCCCTCCCCCCTGAATGATGTAACGGTGCTTAGATAATTAAAATATTGAAAATGGAAATGTTTGTTGGAGACCCTGGTTGGCGGACAGGTTGTATCGACTTTAAAGGCACCAATCATATCAAACTCATATTTAGATTAACTCTTTTCGTCAATTTCCTTAATGAAATTATACAAAGCATTCACTCCAAATGTCTGTGACCATTCCTCAAAAGTTATACGATTTGTATATAATAGAGAAGTTTCTGTAAGAAAAATCCCTTCATGTATACCATTGGTTTCAATCATTATTCTCTCAGGATAGTTCTTGCCGAGCGATGTCTTTTCAAGGCACCATTCTAAAATTTCGTCTCTTAAAACTTCGTGATTGCCAACCAAGAGCAAAAACCTTCCTTTTTTAAACGGTGGAAATTCAGACCAAAAATCCTGGAAACAGTTCAGATTTATGTTCGTTAAAGGTTGGGAGTATAAATGCTCATTTTGCTGAACATATCCTCTTCCACACCTTTGCAAAGTCTCAAAGGCAATCACATCCTTATAAGCGTTATATTTATAAGATTTTGTATTTTTGGCACTTGTCAAATCTAACCAGGGAGAAATTAATGCTACACCAGAAGGCCAGACAACATTTTTAGATTTGGACTTTTCGTTTAGGTGGTAAAGCATCGACAATGCAAGATTCCCGCCAGCTGAGTCACCAACTATAATTATTTTTCTATATCCGAATGATAATAATCTATCGTAAATATTCAAACATTCGAGGATTTGTGATGGATAGGTTCTTCCTTCAGGTACCAAGGAATAATCGACAAGCAAGATAGAAGGCGGCCTTAAACCGTCTTTTTGAAATAGAAAATACAGATTGCTAAAAGCAGCAATATGAAGCTCTGTAGAATGGTGATACATCATTCCTCCATGGAGGTGAAGGATAACGGAGTCCTCTTTGTCCTTATTTTGAGGGTGTCTAGCAAGCCACGCGGAATCGGGAATATTTTGTTCATTGTTTTTTTGAGTAAATATTTCTCCATAGTTAGGAAGCTTTTTCATAGGATTCAATTTGCTCTCCTTCTTCTCTAGCATATCAAACAAATTCCTGAATCCGAAGCGCTTGACATCTTTCATCGTCATCCCGCTAGCTATATGCAAATAACTAATACAAGCCAAGTTTAAATAAAGACTCTTCTGAAAGGCTTCATGTTGTTGAAATCTTGTCCCCACAGTTACGTACTGAATAGATATCCAAACCCATACAAAAGGAAGAGTAATTAATCGTTGAATAAATGAGAAGGATAGCATTTTGATAAAATTTGTAAACCCAGAAAAGTGTTTAAATGATAGAATTATTATTGCTCGATGGCAAGGCGTGGTTCAATTCGTACTGTTCTTACGTAACACCTATACTTCACTCGCTTAATGAGATACAGTTTCCGTCAGAGTCCTATGTACTTGATAGCTATGAAGTAGGGAAAGAGTTACTTGTTTATGTGTCAATACTATATTATATAAAAATTTTCCTATCCTCCAAGGAGATAGTAGAAGTAAAGAAACTAGTTCTCAGGTATTTGGGGTTGTCGAGCTGGATGAAGCTAGCCATAATAATCGGCTTCTATTGATCAGGAATTACCAATATTTCTTCTTTTGTTTATTTTAAAGACGCAAAGAAAACATAATAAAAAAATTTCGCTCATTGAATTTGAATGGAGCAAACCCCATTAAATAAATGCAAAATGTCGATCAGTGAAACATTCAGACAACTGTAAGGTTAATGGAAGAAAGCCTGCAGTCATGTTTAGATCCTTAATTGAAATAAATACTGACTGTTTCTATTATAGGTACTTACAATTTCTGTATCCATATGATACGAAAGCCGTACCGTAAACTGCTACTTCCGTATATCGCTTCCATACTTTACAAGGACTTGCTTCTGATCGATCCTAGTATAAGATTGTTTTTTCATCCTTAGAATTCATACATGAATCAAAACTACTTTTAGATTTTTCAATGAATTGGGAAGCTAAAGTGAAAGATCTTTCGTCCACCCAATTTTCCGATTTTCTGTCGTTGTCGATGTTAACACTACGCAATAATAAATAGAAAAACGGAAAAGATGGGATCGAAAAGGTTAACCCAAGTAACCCAAGCTTACTCATATAATTCAAAACATTAACGTCTAGTTTTCCAAAAGTATAAAATTTCGTGAGCTTTGTTAGCCTCCGAAAGATAATTGATTTCCTATCATAAACTAGGTTATAGAAGATAATTAAATTCCTATCTTAAACTAAGAAAGAGACGCAACATGGTCTGGTACCATCCTGCCAAAAATATATATATATGTAATAACTTGATAAAGCTCGAATGAAAATGGAATATAAATACATCTGTATATCTACAGTCGGAATCTTCAGACTGGAAGATTCAAGGTTGCTGGATACGACATAATAATTTTAAAATAAAATACAAGACGAAAAATGCATAATTTGAGAATCAGATTGCAATATGATTGAAAGAGACAGCTGCCTTGCTTACCACACTGTTTGCAACTGACAAATGGAAAAGGAGGTAACATACAAATAAAGTGGGAATTTGCGAGAATGCTCGTTCGTTTTCTATCGTACAAAAGAGGAATTTTTGATATGTGATGTCAGTTTCTAGAGATATCTAGAACGGCGAGTTTAACAAGGTAAACAAACCAGAAAAATGCAGAGCATCCATGAAAATAAAAGCGAAATTACAAAAATAATAATAATTGAAAAAAAAAGACAAAAAGGAGCAACAAAGAAGCAGGAGGAGCTATGTCGAAATCTCTGGAAGAACCCAGTGGTGGCAAATCATCACATCTGGAAGGTACTAAGACCCTCATAGAATGTTTGTTATTTTCTGTAGTTTAGGTATAAATGGGAGTCAAGTAGAGACGATTCAACAACATTGACAAAAAAGAACAAGAGTAAATTTTTATTTTAATTATTGCGTGAAATAAACGAGTGCTTTTTACAATGTCTCTTCAACCTTTTTTCGATTTATATCCATTTCAAGACGGTCTTTCTGACTTTTTGAGTTATTCCCCTCGCGTCCAACGCCAGGATCGTGCTGTTGATTTGTCACCTGCCATTGATGTCCATGAAGGCAAAGACACGGTTGCTGTTGATGTAGAACTTCCTGGTGTCAAAAAGGAAGACGTTCAAGTTCATTACGACGAAGGAAAACTTACCGTTTCTGGAGAATCATTCAACGAAAGAAAAAGTGAGGGAGAGAAAGGAAACCACAGATGGTCTGAACGTCGCTTTGGATCCTTCTCTCGAACTATCTCCATCCCCAGCAGGATCGATTCCGACCGTATTGAAGCCCAATTTTCCAATGGCATTTTGAGTATTGTTTTGCCAAAGATTGAGCAGTCCCGATCCAAGAAACAAATCGCCATCAATTAAGCTGAAGGGCTAGTGGTATTGAGTTTATGATGATATGATTGTATTCTAATGAGAATTTATAATGGCATAATGGCTTTTTAATATAGCATAGTATTTTAATGAGAGTTTATCAAATTTTAATAAAGTTCTCATTTCATTATTTTTATATTATGTAAAGTGAGAAATAAAAAGTAAGCCATGAAATCTAAAATCTAAATGGTTTTGTCGTTCCGACTCTTTATGATTCGTACCATATTGCAATGTAACCTTCAATAATATGTGGATTTGATCCTTTCCTTGGTGGTGATAGCAGACTGTTCAATTTCAGTTTGCTTACTGTGTAACAGTTCAATTCATTTATGGTATCAATTCGTTTATGGTAGGTTGCAAAGTGCTGTATCTATATCTTTCTCTCTATCTCTCTTACTACTTCCATGCAGTTTTTTTTAACCTACCTGTATGCTAAGCTAGCCGACTAGTTTTCTGTCTTGTCTTCTCCTATCAGTAAAGTAAAATTAGAAATAGAGTATAGATTGTCAACGAAAGAAATATAGAATGAGTGAGTCAAGACACAAGCTTCACGTATGGGTTTTTTCGCCGTAAAGATTCACCAAACCGATAAAACACGAAAGGAATTGGAATCATTCCAAGAGCAATAAATCCTACCAAAGTTCCTCCCCAGTGAACCCCCAACTTTTTAAACATAATACGCGAAAATAAAGGAAAAGTAGCTCCAAAAATTGATCTAGTAAATGTATTCGCAGCGATAGCCGATGCAGCAAATTTTGTAAACGTATCAACAAGATAATTTAGACAACCCTGGAAAATCGTTTCAAAGCCGACACCGATCAAGAATATACCAATAAATGATGCTATCCAATGAATATTGGCATATGAAGTCCAAGCAAAAACAAATATTCCGGCCGGCATAAGCCAGCCTGTCATCATCATCAAAGGTAATCTTTCTTCAGGAAGAGGTTTTCCACCGTTTTCTGTTAGGTATCTTGCGTACCTTTTATTCCAGAAAATATTCAACACACCTCCTGTTACTAAGCCCAAAAACATTGCAATCAAGGGAAGTGTACCAACGGTTCCCTGCCAGTTTCTCGACTGATAGTATGTATACGGAATGGTAGTTAATACTAAATACAGAATTCCGTATACATAACTAGCAAATAAGGCGATGAAAAAGGCGACCGGAGTTGCTAGCATTGCAAAAGGTCGCAAAAGGTGATAGGTAACAAACTCCTTTGCGTCTAATTTGTATCGTTCATGATCAGCGTGAAGACCCCAATTTCCTGTGGTTAACCGTAAATTTCGTGCTTGACGAGCTTCAATTACCGGGACGTAAGTTTCATCAATCATGATTATACTAGCAAGTAAAATCGCAGACTGTACAATTACTATAAACCATAATGGCCATCTCCAGGCCGTATCCGAACCTTCTGAAAGCAAACTACTAATGATGGGACCAAAGTCAGCACCACTAACAACAAAGAAGGCATAAAAAACTAAAGCAGTGCCTCTTTGAGATGGGTTCCAAAGGTCAGCCAGTACACCACCAGAAGAAACGATAGGAGCGCCAGCAAACAAACCGGAAAAGAAACGAGTGCACATAATGGCGGCCACACTATCAGCACTAGCAGTGCCTGCCGTGAGAATTATGGAGATGGAAAAAGGCAAAAAGACACCCATTTTTCTACCATTCATTTCTGAAAAAGGTGCAAAAATCATAGGACCAAAAGCAATCCCCAAGACATACAGCGAGGTAGCTAGTGCCGCCACTTCTTCACCGATGTGGTATACGTTTGTCAGATGTTCAGCAGTAGGTGACATTGTCGTACTGTTGAACTGAGCAGCAAACGTTGTCAGTCCGTACAAAGCCGTGTGGACGATTTTCTTTGAAGTAGACCAATTCATGGGCCGTTGAGGGTCATTTTTGTCAATGTCGACCAAAAAAGTTTCATCGGGGTATGATTTTAAATATTGTAACTTCTCGCCCATTATACTACTTCTGTCTTTGTCGAAAATAGTTAAGCCTTCAGGGAATTGTTCTTGTTATCTCTCTATTTTCGACAACATAAATCGGGCTCATGTCATTATGTTTATTCTTTATCAGTCTTCAATTGATAATAATGAGAATTTTTCTTCTTTTCCACCCACTAATCTCCACTTATACTCACTAGCTTACTTTTACTTTAATTTAGCTTGTCCTTGGTAAAGTGGAGAAAGATGCTGCTGTACTCAAAATATTAATCCAAGAACTACCGATATCCGTATTATAATAATACAATCGAGTTCTGTATTACAAATTATAAACAGCAGAAGCTCTAACAATAAACCTCATCAAAAGGAACAATGTTATCTACTATAGAAGATATATATACACCCAGCTTTGGAAGTACGAATCTTCAGATTGGGAGATTCGATGGATCCGGCTTAATAAATCTAGTTGTCGTTTATTTAGCTAATCTAGTCAGGGGACCCTGAAAATACTTATAGTACATACAAAGTAGAGTCCAATATCTACAAATACAACCTTTTACAACCCTAAAAACTACACACTCAGTCTTAAAATAATACAGCGTAAAATCCTAGCTGTGACAGTTGTGGTAGTTCATCCTTTAGTATTGTGGTTTTTGCTAAATGTTCAGCAATATACTTGTATGATAATATATAGTTATATGCAAAATGTTAATAAAACACCTATCGTGAAAGACAGCATAGCATTGACATCGACAGACAAATACTAGCAATATATTTAATGTATGGGCATTTTCTAAGTTATATTACAAGGACTTACCGCTAACTTTTTCGTTTTAATTACATTCTCAATAAGCGATATCTACTATAAAACTCATATTTACCTTTGACGGCTATCTCAAAATCAGATTAAGAGATAGTGATGTATTGCGTGCTTTTTCAAGTTTTCGTTCTTTTTTTTATTTAAAATAGTCAAAGTAAACGAGCGTGCAGACTGAACAAAATCGGTTACTGCAACATTAAAAAAGGTGCTATAACAAAGCCGGTGGTAACACATAAACTCTTAGGAATCTGTACTCGCTGAAAAGTAAGATTGAAAAAAAAGAAAAGAAAGGAATAAAAACTAGTTTCAAGGTCTTTCTCCTATCCAATCATTTTTGGCGACTACCGATCTTTCTTTCATTTAATTTTTGATTTCTTTTCATAATGAACTCTGAGAGTTTATGATCCAGAAGAACAAGCAACGGCACCTCCCTCTGTAACATTTCGTTTATTAGATTCGAATTCTTACTCATAAACAACTATTAATCCAACAGCCAAACCTCACACCGAACTCAAAACCTAAGATGATATTAATGGAAACCCTCTACCCATAATACTCGTAGAATACCAAATTTCGTTTTGCTGATTTCTCTATTCTTAAACGTGTTCCTCGTTGGTTACTTTTTTGCAATCACAGGTTATGCTTACGTTGATGATAAATCTCAGACTATGAATAAAGTGCTTTATATCACCTATTAGATTACTAATACTACATTTCAGCCTTCATACGGATCGTTTTCAGACAATTTCGGAAGGCGAGCATGTTTTATTGACGGCATCCGCACTGTTCTGTCTTGGTTGTCTATGGAGCCACTTTGCTAATAGGTTCATTTCTTAATATTTGCAAACACCATTACCGGAATTGGAGGAGGAGGATTGATCACGCTGACGAAGATTAGTAACTCGGATATCATTCCGGCAAGAAGGCGAACATTATTTTTAAGACTATTTTTTTCGGATATGTCGGTTTTATTTAGCCTCTTTTGTTGCAAACTTTTTGAAGGTTTTAGTTTGAGATTCTGTTTTCTCATGCAAGTTCCTTTCTCATTGTTAAGTATTGCCGTGTGGTACTTTTTCTGTAAAAAATCAAGCCAATTTCACAAAACCTCACCATTATCGAAATCTTTTGAAAAGTGTTGATATAATAGGAGGATTACTCTGGGTTTCTTGGTTGACAGCGTTGTTAATGGTTTCAACTTTTGCTAGTACAAAAACCATTCAGACATTTGGACTCT